AAAAATGTAACATCCAATTACAACCATGTGTTCAGGTAAGTCTACTCAACCACCCGCTTTCGTCCACTCGTAAAAATTATTTCATCTGAATTAGTAGCGAAAAAATATTTATTAGAAAATCGCTTCATTACAAATAACTACAGTAAACTTGAACTGAGTAACGAAAGCTAAGTAATTTAATCTGCATATAAAAACTGAGCAAGAAAATCTACCATTGTCCACTTTCGTCCATTTTTTAAACTAGTGCTACTGATAAAAAAACCTGAAATGTTAATGGGCTTACTACGTAGCTTCCACCAAACAAAAAGTGAACGGGCCGTTAACTTTTCATTTCCACAAAACTAAATTTCGACAAAAGCATCGTGTACACTGTACAGAAATGTAACGCAGGAACGGTAATAACGCAGTTTAATCGTTGCTAGCCAGGACATGCTAGCCAGATATAAAAAAAAATTTTTAAAAAAAATTCAAGAACGGTGCACAATTTGCGCAACAGCTATTACTACTTAGTGTCAATAATACGGTTTTTATGATTAATAAATAATATAATGCTTTTACTAATAACATTAAGGGCAGTAGCGCACTGGTATGAGTAGCGGTAAAGGTTTGAGTTATGATTATGAACAAAAATAATATTATGATAACCGGTAGGATCAAAGCATGATTATGATTATGAAAGCCGTTTTGAGTATGAATTCTGAATTAGGAATAGGGTTATGAGTATGAGGACCGTTATGAGAATTAGGGTTTCGGAGCGCGCGACAGCGGAAGTTGCCGTGGATATATACAAATTTGGTGCTACTGTATGTACCGGGGAAAATCCCTTAAGACCGCGAGATATTGAGGTACTCAGACATTTCTAGACGTTTTTAAAATTTCGAAACTCTGGAGGCTCAAAAAATTAGAGGTAACGGCCCCCGGCCCCGCTGCGCGGGGCCGAGTCATATTTAGAAATATTTAGAAATTATGGAAATGTAAAAGCTTTGGAGCCGACTTTGGAAAAATTAAAAGTTATTTTGAGGTATTCGAACATGTTTTAAAAACATCTTAAAGTTTTCAAGAATTTAAAAAAGTTATTATTTTGATTGAATTGACAATTTAAATAACATACACAGATCTGTAGTTTAGGTAATTAGGCTGCTAAGCTGCGAAACTTGTATTTGCTCATTCGAGACGTTTCCAGAATTTACTGGAAATTTCTATGAACTTTAAACGCTAAGTAAAGAAAGTTCGAAAGGGTTTCTGAAAACGTTCCGGAAACCAGAAATTTTATTCCAAGCTGCAGGTAGGAAGCTTTGGAAGATGCTTCATTTTATAAAATTAACAACTTAATGGAAAAATCAATGTTGATTTAGGAGATAATTTCCAAAACTAGCAACCGTTAAGTACTAACAACCCTTAAGTACTACAACTTTTAAAAATTTTTTTAAACCTTCTCCAAGACTTAAGATTTTTTTAAAGATAAAGTTAGGAACGTTTGTGCAATGCTTTATTTTATAAAATTATCAACTTATTGAAAAAATCAATCTTGATTTAGGAGATAATTTCCAAAAAATAAGGACGTAAGAATATATGAATCTATTGATATTGATATTGATAACAAATAACAATACCTGGATTCTGGAAGTATTCTGTACTTTTTAAGCTCCCTGTATTCTGACACTTGGTGCTGACTGCTGAGTCTACAGTACAGTAGAAGCTACGGCGCAGTTGTCATGGAAATACCTACATCCAAATGATCCAACAACAGTACATCACTACGTGCACTCAGTGCACTGCTCTGTAACTTACCAGGGCAGCATTTCCGCCTCCAAATTCAAAAAAATATCGTTTTTTGTACAAAGGTAGTAGACTACCGTGGCATGCTTAAAAAAATAATTTTAGCTGCAAAGGTCAGTCGGGCGTGGTCTAATACAAATTTAATGAGTACAGAGTGCACATATAGTAGTATAATTGCATTTTATGTCGCAATATCGTTTTTTGCGGGCACTGCACGTCCCGTGGATCTTTCCAAATGCCGATCGTACGTGCTACAGCGCGCGTGCGGTGACCACTGACCATCGCAACAAAATTAGGAAATTTCAGAAAATCAATAACTTCGCTAATTTTTGAGCTGCTTGTATGTCTATATGCTCAGGAACTATTAGGAAGCATTTAGGTGAAACATTTTAAAAAATGTATGATGTAGCACTTGCCAGGCAGGAGGGGACTATCGGAAGCATTTTTGGATTTGTGTCGGTGCTTGGCACCTGGAAGGGTTTACGATTGGTCCAGTTGTCACAAAATTAATATGATATTAGGCCAAGGTCAAAAAGAGGAAGGAATAATTAAAGGAAGGAAATTTTTTTGGTCAAAAAGAGGAAGGAATAAATAAAGGAAGGAAATTTCATGGTCAAAAAGAGGAAAGAATATTTAAAGGAAGGAAATTTCATGGTCAAAAAGAGGAAAGAATATTTAAAGGAAGGAATGTTTTTTGATCAAAAAGGAAGAAAATTTCGATGGTAAAAAAATGAGAAAATTTCGGAAACCGTTCATTTCGGAAACCAAACATTTCGAAAAGAAAACAAAAGAAAGATAAGATTACAATACATAAGAACACATAAAAAAGAGTAACAACGTAAAAAAACATAATAAAACTTAAGAGACAAATAACAAAAATAGGGAAACCTCAGAAACCTAAGAAAACCAGAATAACATAAGGAAACCTAAGAAAACCATTTAATTACGAAACGTAATTAAGAAACCTAATTAAGAACATTAGAAAACCCAAGAAACCTAAGAAAACATTTGAATAATACCAAGAAAACCACCTAATTAGAACCCTAATTAAAGAACCTAATCATGAACTTAAGAAAATCAAGAAACCTTAAAGTCATTTGAACAGTAACATAAGAAAGTATAATAAAACCGAAGGAAATATTTCGAAATATACGGTTTTTGAAATGAATGGTTTCCGAAATGAACGGACACCGCAGCGGGATAACACACAACAGACAAGAGCTTTGCGCCGTTTTCGCGTGGGCTATACTAGTAACTTTTTAGTCTGCGACTCTGCGTTCATGCAATAACTGTATTGCGGTGACTCTCAGATCGCTACATCTCAGCATACCGCTACATCTCAGCTCTCTGCCGGCTGATCCGAAAAGGCTGCGTTTTGAAAGAAGCTTGCGAATATGCAAAGTACATAGCAGGCGTTTAGCACATCAGCACCAACAGATCTAATGTACAATAACCGCTAAAAGCGCGTGTAGAGCAAAGGGTAACTGGCCTGCCCTTCTCTGTGACTTTTTTGAAGGGAGCAGGGAGCTGCAGGACGTACCTGCCCTTCTCCCTATGTCTTTTTTGAAAGGGAGCAGGAGCTGCAGGACACAAATACCTACCGGTTGAAAAAGGCGATTTGGACCGTGCTGCAGGATCGTCACAGAAGATGGTTTGCAGGGAAGAATGGGTCTGATTCAGACCGCTTGCCATTTTATGGCTTTTGGACCGTTCTGCGAGACTGCGATGTAGCGATCTGAGAGTCACCGCAATACAGTTAATGATACGTGACTTATCAGTAGGAGTAAACAGTAAGGCGCCTGCCTTTTTTTACAGAGTGCAGTGAAATCAGAAGCAGTGGCAGACAGGGTAAGAAAAGTTGCATATTATAAATTATGTTGCCATGCGTTATTCCTTATTCACTCATTTCAGTAAAGCACCATGGTCACATGGTGTAGTCTGACGTTCCGGTAGCAAACTCCTGGCTCATGTCTGGTTCTAGACAAATTCTCGCTAATACCAATTAATGTGACTAATTAATGTGACTAATTAATGTAACAATTATTGTGGCTAATTAATGTGACGCAACTACAGCTAATAATAAGTATGGAGCCTTCTGCTCACGATGATGATGTTGAGTACATACGAATCTATCTTTGTGATTATAACAAATGGACACCGGCCCCTCAGTTGACAACTTGACAATACATTTTACACTTTAAGAACTCAAAGTTATCGTAGGGTTTCGGAGGGAACTATTTAACAGCAGTTAATTTTTCGTTGGTTTGACAACAATTAATATCTCCTTGATCCTGAGTTTTTCGGCTGCTATTCAGCGTACATTGTGGAATTTGTGGTCAGATGCTTTTACTAATTTTGTGTTTACTTGAGTACTTCTTTTGCGGTTGCTTATTTTGTGGCCTGCTAACTTATCTATGTGAACATACTTTGCTTTGTTTTAGTTTAACACTGAAACTTTGAATTTGCAGCATATTAATTAGAATATCATAACAGTATAATCGAAAGACCGCATCATTATTTAAACGTCAGGCTTCTAAAACATTCGGTAAGAACAGTTTGCGCCGTTTGTACTCTTATCGTAAAATTAATAGGTCTGGCTGTAACGCTTAGGTATTCTAGCATTACTTGATCAAACGGACAGTAACGTACTTATTTCCTAAAACTTAATTATTTAAGTACTTAATTTCCAAAACTTTTACAAATTTTCTTAGCGCATTAACTGCAGAGAAATGTTTTCTTGTTTTTGACCATCGAAATTTCTTTCCTTTTTTGACCACGAAAATTTCCTTATCTTTTTTTTCCATCGAAATTTTCTTCCTTTCTGGTCAAAAAAAACATTCCTTCCTTTAAATATTCCTTCCTCTTTTTGACCATGAAATTTCCTTCCTTTATTTATTCCTTCCTCTTTTTGACCTTGGCCCAAATCATAATAACATTAACCGTTATGATGGTTAGGAGAGGAGTACCACTCCTCTAAGCCTCCTAGTCCACTTTGTATTGCTGATGCAGGGAATCTGCATTACGCTTGTGATCAGGGGAGTGTACGGATGAAACCGTCATTCTGATTTGCGTACCTTCAAAAAATCTATGCGGAATATTGTTTTAACCTCGTCGACCAATTCCGCTTCATAATAAAGCAAATGCATTCATTCTACAACACGCTTTTCTCATCTCGCCGCAAAGTCACGCAATTTTATCGGTACTGATTCGGTAGTGTCTATGGTCTAACAGTGAATTAACCGTTCAGTCCTGGCAGAGATTGAACGCTGCTACAGCTGTGTGGTATCAGTCGTCGTCCTTAAACTGCTCTCCAGACTTACAGTCCGTTGTTGAGGAGTTCCGCTTGCGAATATTCTGGGGAAGCATCGCTGGCGCACTGGACGGACGACTAGCTCGATAAAACGCTGCCGATACTGACGTTCAGTCAGCAGGTAAAGGTAGAAATTCAACGAATAACCCATGTACGTGGTTGCAGTGATGATTGGTTGCATCATACTAAATAAACTCATATCGTCGCGATAAGCAAATTTAACGGTCCACGGTATAGTTTCGGGGCCGGCGCATACGTCAAACATTTTAGGGAACGCGTGATGAGATACAACAATGCACTACTTAGCAGAATGATATTGATTCCGTGCTGGGACATGGACGACGCGGATGCCGCACTCGAGGCACTCTGTTGCCTCTGCAAGCGGCGCAGCTCACCAAACTCGGATCGTCGATGGCGAGCAAGGAAGGCAACTAGGATTACACTGGGAATAAGGATCAGCAGAAATGTCAGAATGCGCACTGCAATCTACAGAACCATCACAACAAATTAATTGGTTATCAGTTCCAGAAACGTACATCAATAGCCAAAAAAATTTATAATATCCAACCGGGCCGCGGCTCAAAATTTACCAAAAGATAGCCCAAAGTACGCAACAGAAACATATCCGACGTGCGCAAATAGTGCCGGATTTTAAACAGAGAAGCGCTAGTTTGTGCAATGCGCGACAAAACGAAGCACCTGCATTTTACAGTCTTACGGTACCCTTAGGCACGGTACTAACCAGGGCATTTGCATCGACGAGATCCCAAAACTCCTGCCAGTTCGGGTAACCGTAATGTGGTTTATTGGAGTCCGGTTTGTCCGTTAGGTCATTCATTAAGGTTATATAGTTGGTAGTAAAATCGTGCATATAGCATGCGAGCGACAGGATGGCGAGTAAGACAATAATGATGCGCGCTGTTGAAACCCGTTGCAGAAATCCGAAACGAAAAGGACTTACAATCACAAGTAGCCGTTCCCAGGAGAACACAACCAGGATCCTGAAAAACTAAAATTACAGAAATAAACATGTTAGCGAAATACCCGAAATCTCACCAATCCGCTAACATCATTGAAGCATCCAAAAACCATGGAAGAAGCAGCGGCACACCGATTGGATCATCCTGATCACCCAGCATTGCCGTGGCTAACCATTCGTCTAATCCGAGCCATCTACAAAGGAAGCTGTACGAAAAAGGGAAAGATCTAAACTATTTCGGAGAAATTTCCTAAATGATTTTATAGTGTCAAGTGACTTTCAGTTTTTGCGTGATACCGGGTGGCCCAATAAAATGGCGGTCTAGTTAATCATTGTGCAATGGCCCCGCCCAACGTCAAATTGGTTTTTTTCGAAAGAACAATGTTTAAGACATGAAATCGCTTAATCGTACAGATTCGTACTTAACGTAAACAAAGATTTAACTTTTTCGTAATTTATTTTACTAAAATAGATTGATTTTGACGGTGTCCCAGAACCGGAAATTTGGATTTCCCCATCAGCGAACTAAAAATTGCTATTATTCAGCTTAGCAGGTTAAAGTTTGTCACTTTAGCATTTCAGGTAGAGGGATTATTTCTTTAGAGGTAAAGGGATACGGTATTCTGGTCACCGCGTTCGGGCCGGAAGCTGGAAAGCTGGAGCGCCGCACATTTAATTTTCGTGAAATCCTCCATCAACATTTTCAAAAATGAATTTCTCACCAATGCTGCAAAAGCGGATCTCAATCAAACTTCCTTCTATAAGAGCAATACCTTAGCTATACATAACAGCTAAACCGACCCGCTTTGTTTCATCCTGTCATGCAGCAAAAAAATTACAATAAAGTAGATTAAAAATTAATCAAAAAATCGGCATTTATTCAAAAATGAGTCGGATGCATTGCTCCCCCATCGCGTGTACTATGGAAACGGCTTTTTGTATGCTGACAAAGAACGACTTTCTTTACAAGAAACAGCTGGAAAAATTAAAACAGTTAGCATACATAATAATGACACAAAATTTTGGAGTTCAAAAGCTGGGTCACAACACGATTCCGCACGATTTCCGTTGGCTTAGTTTTTCGCGATCGCGTCACAACTTTTCAAAAAAACTTCTTCTGCATTCAGTAGCTAATAAATTTGTAATTCAATAAATCCAAAACTTCCTTGTACGACAAGTGGTTCACGAACAGCAAAACAAAAACGGAGACCCACATTTTTTTGGGCCACCCATTTTGTTAAGATAATAGAAACGCTGCTGAGTCAGCAGCGTTTCTATTATCTTAACAAAATGCTGACGTACGTCAGCAGTGCTGACGTACGTATAATAAGTTACGTATTAAATAACTACCAACTGATGCAACGTTTACTAAATTTGTTTTTATGCTGGAACGTTATTGTGCTTACTCAAATTGTAATAATATGAACTGGAGTACTCATGTGGCTTCCTAAAGTACTTTTCAACTTACAACACCAACAAATCAGCAACGGCGGTGCCGATCATGTAATGACACGAAGAAGTCTTCCACGTGCGGACACTGCGTATCAGCACCACCAGATTCAGTCCATTGCCCACGGTGCACAGGATCAACAAGCAGCAGTACACACCTCGAAAAGCTAAGTACACATCCAAAATTTGACGTTCTGTAAAACGAGTGTATCGTGTGGTTGTGTCGTCACTGTCATAACCGACTTGGTGATGATCTCCACTGATTACGTCTGAGCTACCGTTAGCAGAGCTGATGCTCGGATGTTGACTGAGATTAGTAAAGGATAATGTGGATGAAGAAAACACTTCGGTAGAATTATCCATAACAGAATAATATTATTAACAGCGTATTATTTTCTTAATTTAAACCACTACAGTTTAGTTTAATGTTGCTTGCAAATTACGACCGCTGTCCAGCAGATCTGCTACGATCTCTTCACTTTGCTAGCTGCGGCATTAATGTTACACTAACATAGTACACTCAAAGATCTCCGTTAGAAAAAATATGTGCGTGTGCCGGTGTGTCAACTCAATAAAGCAATCAATAAGTCACATTTTAGCGTTTCAGTAATTGTCCCCCTTGGCTGAATAATATTTTAGGGAGTTGCTTACTAGTTCCGCTGCATACTTAATAATTTATTACCCTTTATTTCAGTCTTCCCAAGATAACGGCAACCGTCGTGTGATTCTTAGAAGCTACCCATAATACATATATTAACGTAATTAACTGTAATTAAAGTGTAATTAAAATGTAGTGAAGCCGGCTGGCGCTATTTTCTCGTTGCGGTTCTCGGTAAACTTTGCATAGCCAGGGGTATCCATACCCCGGTCAACGGATTAGTAAATTTGCTTGTTCTGCCGTATATTGCACATTTTACTATCTGCCAATGTCGCGAACACCTGAAAAACCAGAATATGAAATTGCTAAATTGTTACACTTCTGCAGACACTGCAAAACTGCATACGTTGCGCTTTTACCGAGCAAGATTAATGAACAGACAGCAGACGGGGCGGATATTATGTTGCTTTACGGTTAATGCAACTCGCAATGTTGGTCAACGCTATGCGCAGGAGTTTTTCATTTTAAAGAAAAGTCTGTACGCCAAAATCTGAACTTGAAAAAGTCGTACAAATTCTGGTTGCAGTGTACTTACCAGTTTTAGTAGTTAGCATGTACAATTATTTGGATAAGTACGTGTACAGGAAATACTGTTCTGTTTGGAAGTACTGTTCACCGCAAGTTGGTCAGTACAACACCTATTCTAAATGCTCTTGTGTTAAAAGCAATACCTTATGCCGTCAATTCGTGTTTAAAATTCAGCATTTTGTGCAGAGTGCTGCACAGTGTGCGTCCATCCACATATACCTAATTCCGTGAATTGGTGAAAAGCCAGTACTTTGTGTGAAGTACTGCACAGTGTGCATCCATCCACGTGTACCTAATTCCGTGAATAGATCAAAAGTCAGTACTTTATGTAAAGTACTGCCCGTATTTTATACTTCCCACATGCCGTGAATCCGTAAATCGGTGAAAAGTCAGTACTTTAATTATGTATAGTACTGCCAGCACTTTTTACTTCACAGATGCCGTGAATCCGTGAATCGATGAAAAGTCATACTTTATGTAAAGTACTGCCACTACTTTATGTAAAGTACTGCCAGTAATTTATACTTCCCAAATGCCGTGAATCCGTGAATCGGTGAAAAATCTGTACAGTACTTACTTTATGTAAAGTGCTGCCAGTACTGTCAAGGAAGATTGAGTGGTCACGTGAAAGTTCAATAAAGTTCAAATCATCGAACACAGGTTTATAGAAATTTTTTAAGTAAATGGAAGCCAGGGTTTAGCAATGGCATTTTGTAGCCGTCTAATTTCTGTGTGTTGCTACGCCCCCTTCCTCATTAGATATCAACGGGAATTGCACAGAAACGCACGTACTGTAGCGCGGGTACTTTAACAGGAGCTTTTGCTTCTACGCACCACCAAACACGCTTTTGCGTAGTCAACTGATTTGTACACATTCAGGTGAAAATTGTTCGGGCGCGAAACATTCGTTTGAGGAGCACAGATGCCAAAAATTTAAAAAATAATATGATTAATGTAAAGCTGTAAACAGCTCAGAATGCGCGTTAGTTCCGAGCACATCATCCGCCGGACCGCCTTTAGTTTATCCGCCGCCTTTAGCTCTTAGTAGGCTAAAAAAGTTGTAGGAAAACCATTAGGCCGTATTTCGGTCATCTGCAGACGGATGGGCAAGCGAACGTCGCATTTGACTGAAAGTGTTGCTGTGGTTTCCATCAGGCCCGCCAGAAAGGGGGGGGGGGGGCGCACCGGCGGTCGCCCCCCCCTTTCCCGGATTTTTGACCGCCCCCCCGGCGCGCCGTCCTGACGGCCGAGAAGGGCTCCGCCGCCCCGGCGCCGATTTTACTGCCCTGGTTCCGTACGTTTTTTAATTTTTTTAATTTACAAATTAATGAAATTTGAAATTTGTGGTTCGAATTTAGTAATCTGCGTGTTCTCAAAGCTTCAAAAACATTTTAAAACCAGACACAGGATAGTACCATCTACCGATCGACGGTTTTTGTCGGGCCAAAATACGGTTCAAAAATAAAAATAAATTAAAAATATTTTTTTTTATTAAGCGCCCCCCGGCGGCGGCCAAAAAATAGTGCGCCCCCCCCTGCGCATTTTTGGCAAAACTGCGCCGGGGGCAAGCGCCCCCCCCCCTTTCCAAAAACCTTGTGGCGGGCCTGGTTTCCATATCGTCATTGCGGTTACTGTGGCGCATTGGTGAATCTTTTTGTGCAAATCACCAAAGCGAGCGAAGGCTTATTATGTTTAAGAAAACAGAACTTTTGCTTGTCTTTTGGTCACATCGGAAAAGTCTGTCACCTAAGTAGTAAGTCAGAATCTTTCGTCTAAAATACGGTGCTAATTTTTTTGATTTATATAATAATAATCACAGTTAATAAAACGAAACGTTACAGGCACCCCTTTTCGCACTCTGTTTATTATAGGCGCTCATTTTTGATTAATGTCGTACATAGTACTATGTGACACGAGGCGTTTAAGTTTCCTTTAAAGGATTTGACCCGGTACATAGCACCAAATTCGTGTACATCCACGGGAACGTTTGCTGTCGCGCACTCCCAAGCACGTTTTTGCAGTGCTTCATGTTATTAATTTTGGCAGCCCGAGGATTTGTATACGTAGGCGTGAAATCCGTTTGTGCGCGCAACATCCGATTGGAAAGTTATGGGGTTATGGGTGAATTAAAATTCAAAAAAGTTTAAATCCATTCAGATGTACCAAAAGTCTCATTATGGACCGATCTTCTTTAAATTTTGCATATAAATGCACAATTGTCATATTCATGAGGATCGTTTTAACACCGAAACACGGTTCTAGCATTTCTTAAATTTTAAACTGAATTTTAAAAGTTTTGAAATTCAGTTTTGAAATTTGAAAAAAATGGTGCCTCTGGTTCGGTGTAAAAACGATCTGTACGCTCGTGTTCATTTGCTTGCAGAATTTGAATAAGATTGGTTAATAATGCCGCTTTTGGTACATACACCTGAATGCACTCAAACTTTTTGGAATGTTGATTCGTCCATAACTTTCTAACCGGATGTTGCGCGCGCAAACGGATTTCACGCCTACGTAAACAAATCCTTAGGCGGCCAGATAACATCAAGCAATGCAAAAAAGCGTTACGTAGTGCGCGACAGCGAACGTTCCTGCGGATGTACACGGATTTGCTGCTACGTACCAGGTCAAATCCCAATTTGCCGAGTCGTCCTATTATCAGCTGAAAAGCCTGACGTACTTAACCCGACGCCATAGAAAAAAATTATTTTAAAAAATTACTGAAAAAATTAAATTATTATGTGCATAAAGCTGCATTACCTCTTCAAAGCTCATAATTTTAAGATCTAATATGAAAAAGATAATTCAAAAAGGTTTTGACGAGTATCTGTACTTCGTATAGATATTTGTAAATACAAAAGAAGACCAATAAAAAATTAGCAATTAATAAATACTATTTACAGTAAATACTATTTACAGTAAATACTATTTACAGTAAATACTATTTAAATACTGATTACGCGAATTTGTGAAAACCTCTGACATTATACGGTACACTATTACGGTATTCCCTTAATAAATAGTACTGCATGTATTACCATTGAAATTTTAGTTTGGCCACGCCCACTCAACCATGGCCGATGGAAATATTTTTCTAAGTGTTTCCAAGGGTTACTTTGTCTTCCTGCAAAAAATTAAATTTGTCGGAGCCGGGAGTAGCGAAAGTGTTCGGTTCGTTAATAATGTGAAAGGACCCGCATATATGGGGAATCACCTACTACCTAGTGAAGTACCGATGTTGGCTGGCACCAAAATTAAATTACTATACTCGTATGCATATATAGTACTAGCATGTATAGGGGGCAAAACCAGGCATCTTCCACCGTTCCCCTGTACTGCTGCCGTCACCCGGTTGGAGGTTGTGTGAAGAATTTATTGGTTTGCTTATCGTTCAGATTCTTACTTCAGAAGTTGGAGGTTTACGTTGTGGCTGTACGTGGCGCTTATGTACCGCGCCAGATTTAACCATACATGTATGTACTCGTATTGCCGTAACCGGTAACGTCACACTCCAGGCGGGGGACGGCAGCAGTACAGGGGAACGGTGGAAGGCGCCTAGTTTTGCCCCTTATATCAGGAAATGGAGAAACGTCCCGCAACAGAGTATCATACACACGGTGGCACAAATAGAATACGCGTTATCGCTACCCACAATCTTCACAACTTTTCTAATTTTTCTTGATTATTAACAGCAGTAATTTTTAATAAAAATAAAAAGTATCAGACTACTGATAACACGTATTTCTTGCATACCTCTGACATTGTTCGCTTACCTGTTATGGTATTCCGATACATAGTGCTGCATATATTAATGAAGTTTAGCCACGCGCACTTAACCATGGTCGATGAAAATATTTTTTAAGTACACCAAAGGTTTACCCTGTCTTCCTGCAAAAAAAGAAATTTTTCGGAGCCGGGAGCAGGTGATGCATGGCCCTGGTCAGTTGCATCAGCAGCCCCACCTGCGCGCGGCTACTTACCTTTCAATTAGTTTGTGGATTTGCAGCAACCAGTCAATTTTTATGAATTCCGTGTCTGCTTTTTTGGCAATCCGAAAATTTAGTTGGATGAGAATTCTGCCGGTTATTTGACCATACAAAGATTGCCGTCGCGAAATTCTTCCTGCGCTACAACTGCCAAAGCACCGTTGAAGCACACTTAGCATACGAGTACTTTGAATTCTCTAACCAGGGCAGTATGTCCGCCTCCAAATTCAAAAAAATATCGTTTTTTGTACAATGGTAGTAGACTACCGTGGTATGCTTAAAGAAATAAATTTAGCTGGAAAGGTCAGTTGAGCGTGGCCTAATATAAATTGTATGATTACATAGTATGTGTTGCATACTGTTATTATGCAGTACTGGCATTTACCATAATATCAGGCCAAGGTCAAAAAGAGGAAGGAATAAATAAAGGAAGGAAATTTCATGGTCAAAAAGAGGAAGGAATATTTAAAGGAAGGAATGTTTTTTTTGACCAGAAAGGAAGAAAATTTCGATGGAAAAAAAAGATAAGGAAATTTTCGTGGTCAAAAAAGGAAAGAAATTTCGATGGTCAAAAACAAGAAAACATTTCTCTGCAGTTAATGCGCTAAGAAAATTTGTAAAAAGTTTTGGAAATTAAGTACTTAAATAATTAAGTTTTAGGAAATAAGTACGTTACTGTCCGTTTGATCAAGTAATGCTAGAATACCTAAGCGTTACAGCCAGACCTATTAATTTTACGATAAGAGTACAAACGGCGCAAACTGTTCTTACCGAATGTTTTAGAAGCCTGACGTTTAAATAATGATGCGGTCTTTCGATTATACTGTTATGATATTCTAATTAATATGCTGCAAATTCAAAGTTTCAGTGTTAAACTAAAACAAAGCAAAGTATGTTCACATAGATAAGTTAGCAGGCCACAAAATAAGCAACCGCAAAAGAAGTACTCAAGTAAACACAAAATTAGTAAAAGCATCTGACCACAAATTCCACAATGTACGCTGAATAGCAGCCGAAAAACTCAGGATCAAGGAGATATTAATTGTTGTCAAACCAACGAAAAATTAACTGCTGTTAAATAGTTCCCTCCGAAACCCTACGATAACTTTGAGTTCTTAAATGTATTGTCAATGTGTAAAATGTATTGTCAAGTTGTCAACTGAGGGGCCGGTGTCCATTTGTTATAATCACAAAGATAGATTCGTATGTACTCAACATCATCATCGTGAGCAGAAGGCTCCATACTTATTATTAGCTGTAGTTGCGTCACATTAATTAGCCACAATAATTGTTACATTAATTAGTCACATTAATTAGTCACATTAATTGGTATTAGCGAGAATTTGTCTAGAACCAGACATGAGCCAGGAGTTTGCTACCGGAACGTCAGACTACACCATGTGACCATGGTGCTTTACTGAAATGAGTGAATAAGGAATAACGCATGGCAACATAATTTATAATATGCAACTTTTCTTACCCTGTCTGCCACTGCTTCTGATTTCACTGCACTCTGTAAAAAAGGCAGGCGCCTTACTGTTTACTCCTACTGATAAGTCACGTATCATTAACTGTATTGCGGTGACTCTCAGATCGCTACATCGCAGCCTCGCAGAACGGTCCAAAAGCCATAAAAATGGCAAGCGGTCTGAATCAGACCCATTCTTCCCTGCAAACCATCTTCTGTGACGATCCTGCAGCACGGTCCAAATCGCCTTTTTCAACCGGTAGGTATTTGTGTCCTGCAGCTCCCTGCTCCCTTTCAAAAGACATAGGGAAGGGCAGGTACGTCCTGCAGCTCCCTGCTCCCTTTCAAAAAAGTCACAGAGAAGGGCAGGCCAGTTACCCTTTGCTCTACACGCGCTTTTAGCGGTTATTGTACATTAGATCTGTTGGTGCTGATGTGCTAAACGCCTGCTATGTACTTTGCATATTCGCAAGCTTCTTTCAAAACGCAGCCTTTTCGGATCAGCCGGCAGAGAGCTGAGATGTAGCGGTATGCTGAGATGTAGCGATCTGAGAGTCACCGCAATACAGTTATTGCATGAACGCAGAGTCGCAGACTAAAAAGTTACTAGTATAGCCCACGCGAAAACGGCGCAAAGCTCTTGTCTGTTGTGTGTTATCCCGCTGCGGTGTCCGTTCATTTCGGAAACCATTCATTTCAAAACCGTATATTTCGAAATATTTCCTTCGGTTTTCTTATACTTTCTTATGTTACTGTTCAAATGACTTTAAGGTTTCTTGATTTTCTTAAGTTCATGATTAGGTTCTTTAATTAGGGTTCTAATTAGGTGGTTTTCTTGGTATTATTCAAATGTTTTCTTAGGTTTCTTGGGTTTTCTAATGTTCTTAATTAGGTTTCTTAATTACGTTTCGTAATTAAATGGTTTTCTTAGGTTTCCTTATGTTATTCTGGTTTTCTTAGGTTTCTGAGGTTTCCCTATTTTTGTTATTTGTCTCTTAAGTTTTATTATGTTTTTTTACGTTGTTACTCTTTTTTATGTGTTCTTATGTATTGTAATCTTATCTTTCTTTTGTTTTCTTTTCGAAATGTTTGGTTTCCGAAATGAGCGGTTTCCGAAATTTTCTCATTTTTTTTACCATCGAAATTTTCTTCCTTTTTGATCAAAAAACATTCCTTCCTTTAAATATTCTTTCCTCTTTTTGACCAAAAAAATTTCCTTCCTTTAATTATTCCTTCCTCTTTTTGACCTTGGCCATGATTTGTGGGCATTAATTTTATTTCGCAATAAAGGCTCACATGGCCGGCAACGAAGTAGCTGAAAATACTGGTACCAAATGAAAACCAATTAGGTATTTTCCGCTCGTTGACCCTGGTTTATCACACTGGATGATTGGATGTCATAACAAAGCGTACGTTCAACTTCACAATGTCGCGGATCACAAATTTCCGGCTATGCATGATAAATAATATACTAAATATGACGAATATTGTCGCGTACCTGCCGGTCGTTTAGATAACAGCGTTATCGTCGCCACTAACAAATGTTTTATATCTTCCCGGCTCATTGCTGCTGACCATGGTTTGGTGAAAAACACTAATTTTCCCAACACTGGAGATTTTTTGGTACTAACCTGCGTTGCTGCTCTTTAGTATCTATAAAAGCGGAGAACTAAAGCGTTTCGATAAAGGCGCACAACGATGTAGTTTAAGGTGTAAACTGGAACGCTCTTCAGTGTGGTGAACGGAGCGTTAATTGAGCGAGAGCAGCAAGAAATTAATAGCATTAATACTTTGTTATTTCACAAACCAGGATAATGAACATAAGAGAGAAAGTTATGCAAAACTCGTATAAAAGGGAAAACTGTGCGAACAATTGCATTTCGACACAATAACGTCTTTGCGTCTGCGTGACGTCTCTGGTACGCTTGATAATATCCGGTTATTTTCGGCTTCTTGAAAGTTTTGAAGATGGATGAATGATAAACTTTTCAGATCTGGTAGGGCCAGGAAAACGTTGTGTGTGTTTACGTGATAGCAAATCGCACCTGGGTATGCAGTCATCCTGGGTATACTTCCGCGTCGAATTTGGCGCAGTCGTGCTTTTCTATCTATGCTTCGGTTTCCGTTACCAGCTGTCTTATATTTTGCAGTAGATTGTTGGACACCATTGACATCCAGCAATAGTCGGATGCTCCTGCTCCGAATGCCGGAAGTCCATAATAGCGGATGCCGGCATTAAACTGACGTTAATGAGCTGACCGGGTTGCCTTCTTCCACTTGGCAGGATTCTTTGTCGGAGAGCGGCAGTGTTGTCGTACAACAGGATAACAGCGGCCGGACAACGACATCCATGAAGCGCCGTCGATACTGCCGCTCGGTGATCAGATAAACGTAGAAATTAAACGCGTAACCAGCCAAACTACTTAGGTTGATGAAATCATCAGCTACCGCCGTAACCGAATCATCGGCGTTATACAGAGCAACTGAACTGTTACCGGCCAGCACGCACATCTGGAACGTCTGTGGCGCGCGCACTGACAGAAACAGCGCGGCACTACTGAGCAAGATGACGTTGATGCTGTTATAGGTGCCTCGCGATACCGCTTCACAGGATTCATTGCCGGCGTTGGGAGTAATCCGCATCTTATTTATCGTCGAACGGCGATAGTATGTAAGAAATATGATAACACCGCCGGTCGGAATGAGGACAAGAAGAAAGGTTAACAAGCGTGCAACAATCTGCAAGACGTAAAATTGCAACATAATTGGAGGATTTTGAATTTCGTTCTTCAGTAACGGCGCTGCGCACGTCTCTTCTAAATCACAATCTACCGCCAAAATCCTGCTGATAGCGTACTTTGGCTGTTGCATGGACTGAAAGCCACTGATGAATCCAGCCCACAGATTTGTCGGCATCAATGCCGAAACGTGCGCCGTACGCTAAGATATGCGGGTCCGCGTAGTTCACCACAAAATCAATCATGTTCAAGAGAAACGATAAAATCAGCAGGATTAGGATGATAATGTGTGCTACCGACACCCTTTGCAGCCAGCGGAAGCGAAGTGGGCTGAGGATCACCAATAGGCGCTCCCAAGAAAACACCACCAGAATCCTGCAATACAGAAAAAAAGCTGTCATGTTCACGGATAAACAGGAGACAAACCCTATTTAGGCAGTAAATCTCGTTTGAAATAACTGGATGTGTTGACAGCCGGCAGTCGTTAATTTTCCTGGTATCAGTGCTAAGCCTATTTCAACGTCGGTTTTCCAGCGATTGAACTTCAAAAACTTTCGTGGCGTGTTTTATGCGTACAGGTTGCCAATAGCGGCACGAACGATTTTACCGTAATGAAAGTGAAACTGACAAACTAGTGACAAAATTTACCAGCCGGATTGGCAGCCGCGCCTTGTTGCTGTGCCCTAAACAGTTGTTACTGCTCAACAACGGAACAAGTAGCAACCGTTTAAAAAATCAAGGGAAAGTGACTGCAAAAATCATAAACTTTGATAAACCGGAAGTGCAAGACAGTGGAGGACAGTCTATCAAAGACAGACTTTTGAAGTGCAAGACAGACTGCAAGTTCTCATTATTCGTTCACATAATATAAAGTCCACATTATTTGTTCACTAACCAATCAGAGAGCCACATGGATGTTTCAACCAGCCACGGCACAACACCAAAAGCAATCGATGGTGTATGAACAGTCCGTCCTAGAGTTATCACCTGGAGGAGATACGGAAGCGTCAACCACCTACAACACATCCAATTTGCGCTTTTACTAACATTCTCCCTATAACATTTCGTCTTCGTACACGTACTTTGGTCACTGCAAGTGTAAAATTCCATCCCATGTACCAAAAATTACACAGCAAAACGACGTTTTCAGAAATTTTTTCTTAATGTAACAAAAATCGCTCGTAAATTTTCCCAAGCATAGACCTACAGTCACCTACTTAAAAATTTTCAAAAACAAACCACAGGAATTAGCGCACCAAATGGGGACGGTGCACGGGACGCTGACCAGTTTATGAAAACGTATAACTAAACTGACCAAAATATGAGAAAAATCGAAGTATTACATTTCCCTTGCATGCAATTAATTTGCACGCTTACAGTGATGCCAGATCGGCTACGGCGGTAGCGATCATATAATGACAAGCGGACATTTTCCATGTTTTCACACTCCGTAGCAGCACGGCCAAGTTAAGCGCATTGCCGACGGTGCACAGGATCAGCAAACACACCCATAGACAGCCAAAGATATAGTGTGCATTATTAATCTGGGCATCATTGTATTTCCCGTGACGTGAATGGTTAGAATCCTTGTGTTGACCAAAGCCGAGAACTGCGTTATCCTCGGCATAAATGATCCAATTCGTGCCATTTGAATTGTTGGACGGATGGTGCGGATCTCCATTCAGCCTATCGTATGCAGCAGCCATAATGATGATTACAGTGAAATTCTATTTATAGACAAGATAATATTGTCATGCGTGGAATAATCCGTTGCTCAAAGTTGTGATTATTAATTTTCTAATAACGCTGTTTCAGTAATCTAGCAATCGGCATACTATTTACAACGGCATGCTTGCCCTTTGGCTAAATTTCCGACATTAAGCGGATCTCAAATTAATAACATCGAGTTAGACGATCAGTCGAATAACAAACACCCTAAATGACACCATATCCGTTACTGAAGTAAACAACAAAAAGACAAATGTCGGCGCTTTCTGAAATACCGTATTACGACTGAGGCCATACCACGAACAATCAGACGCTCAGAAACAGCAGTAAAAAGAAATTGCACAATCATACCGGATGAGTAATATCACGACATTCTTCCTTCGCTCGTAAATTAAGCACGAGACCTGTCTCGGTAACAGCCGATAGTTTCATCATTTCTTACTATTCACTTATACAAGCAAAATATGTTTTGTTAAACCCGCTGTTGTATTTGGGAGGGCGTTTAGCCTTCGCCAGGATTAACGCGTGTTAGTGACTCCATAATAGGCACCGCATATTTGGTGCGGGCGGGAACGATGCTGTCGAGCACGTCCTGAACAATCGCTCCGGCGTCTTCGGCTATGTATTCCCTGGTTGACACCGAGCTGTTTAACGTCATAATGGAATTCTACTTGTAACGCCCATTCTACCAACGAAGTCGTGGCTGTTCTTGTGTTAGATTTGTTCAATGGCTACCGGGCGTGGCTTAAATGCATTGGCCACTGCCTTGCAGGGATTGGAAATGACTCGGAACTAGGCACAAACAAGCTAAACATTTCCTTGGGCATATTCGTGCAAATACAAATATATACACGAAGGACATCTTTTTGTAAGGAAAAATTATCTATATTCAGTCTTAATGTTTATTAAATGATAATTAAAGAACTTATCCCATTAAAAATATAAGTTAATATTGCAAAACGTCTGTGTCACGTATTACCAATATCAATAGATTCATATATCCTTACGTCCTTATTTTTTGGAAATTATCTCCTAAATCAAGATTGATTTTTTCAATAAGTTCATAATTTTATAAAATAAGGCATCGCACAAACGTTCCTACCTTTATCTTTGAGAAAATCTTAAGTTTTGGAGAAGGTCTAAAAAAATTTTTAAAAATTGTAGTACTTAAGGATTGTTAGTACTTAAAGGTTGCTAGTTTTGGAAATTATCTCCTAAATCAACACTGATTTTTTCAATAAGTTGCTAATTTTATAAAATAGAGCATTGCACAAACGTTCCTACCTTCATCTTAAAAAAAATCTTAGGTTTTGGAGAAGGTCCAAAAAAATTTTTTGAAAGTTGTAGTACTTAAGGGTTGTCAGTACTTAAGGTTGTAGTACTTAAATGTGGCAGTGTAGTAGTAAGTACTTAAAATCAATGTTGTTAGTACTTTAATCTTTAATGTAATATAAGGGGAAAAATGTGTCTAGCCGAACCAATCCCTTGTACTTCTGATGTAAGCCAGCTGGTGGTTTACGTTGTGGCTGCACAGCGTTTTATGTAAAGCGCTGCTATTAAGATTGCAGGTACTGATAACAGGTAAGCAGCACTCGTACAACTGCAGGTGAACAGGCTAAAACTGTATTATAGCCCGGACCTGCCTGGTGCAGCTAATACCACATGTACCGTCAATGCCGCACAGCCTTAAAAGCAGCGCTTTACATAAAACGCTGTGCAGCCACAACGTAAACCACCAGCTGGCTTACATCAGAAATACAAGGGATTGGTTCGGCTAGACACATTTTTCCCCCTATACTACGTTGTTGTTGTTGTTGTTGTTGTTGCATAAACATACAGCGTAAATACAATGTAATACTACGTAATGTAGTACTTAAATGCTGTTAGCTTTTAGAGAACTCGCAACTTAGCAACCTAAACAATGTTATTTAAAATTGCCACTTACATCAAGCATAATTTTATTTTTTCTAATTCTTGAAACCTTTAATACGTTATTAAATGATAAATCCGTTCGATTACCTCGAAATAACTATAAATTCTTCAAAGTCGGCTTTAAAGCTTTTTCATTTCAAAAATTTCTAAATATTTCGACTCGGCCCCGCGCAGCGGGGCCGTTACCTCTAAATATTTTTAGCCTCCAGAGTTTCTAAATTTTAAAAATATCTAGAAATCTGAGTATCTCAATATCTCACGGTCTAAAGTGTCTAATTTATACGAGTATTTAATTCCTTAATGTCTAAGAGCCGGTCCGCGGCCCGTTTACTGTATTCACCAACGTAGCGGCTCTGTGGTACTGGTGGTAGCTTGGGCATTCACAAACCTACGTTACTTTGTAATACTGGTGGCAGCTTTGGCAGTTTGGCAGGACTTTCTGTCACGTCGGTCACGAACACAGAAATTATTGCGCAATCGTGGCTACCCAGAATAACTTAAGGTGACCACTCCTTAAACTACCTTCACCTACCTTTCACTCCGTACATTGCCTTTCGCCCTGTACGTTGAAAAGACCAAGCGGCAATTTCTAGTACAGAAGAAACCTGCGAAACTGGTCGAAACTTCGTTCAAAAATGAAAACGGCAATGCCAACGTTTCAAAGCCCTGTGCGAAGAAAAACCGGTATCCGGGAGCCGAAAGTTACTTACGTACAGCTGGTGATAATGCGTGAACTTACGCGGCAATGGCAGCTGTTAACCAAAACGGCAGTTCCGGAAATAGCGTTAACGTGAAGAAATTTAAAACAATAAAAGGTCGCGAACGCAGATAAAGGTAGTGCCGAATGGTAGTGTACGAAGTAAAAGATAAGGAAAGGCAGTGTACGGTAATGGTTACATAGTTCATATACGTATGCACTGTAATATACAGTACTTTCTGTAAGGTTCTTCTATCCAGAAATTTATAATACAAATTTATAATACAAGTAATATAGAAGTGCAGTACTTTACGCATATATAATACATCCCGTCTCGCCGCGCACTTTAACCTATTAACGCCGGGTACCAGAAGGAGTGGGAATAGCCATCTGAAAATTAGTATTCATCGACCAAAAATGTCAATTACGAAAGTCACTGTTTGTATAATTTTTCTGACCATAGGTCAAGCCGGATACCATGATGCCGAAATGACACGCATCGGAACTGAGCCATTTGGCACTGTATAGTTTTTCCAAATAGTAATTCATAAAAAATCGCATAAATTCATAAAAAAATATACTGGAATTGGACACTGGATACTTCATTTTAAGTTTCTGTGTCGTTGTTCTGTAGCGCTCTGTAAGATTCAGCACTACACCATTGTTTGGTTCACTTTTACAGAACTTCCGGCACTTTTACAGAAGTTACAGAACGTATGTAAAGTCTGCGGCGAGAGGCGCTAATGTCGGCATTTCTATGTCGGCTTTTCCCGCATAAGAACTGGGGTAGATTGGCAATAGATCGAGTTTTCCTTTGAATCTTCTTCAGTTCTTTCAAGCAGCAAAATGCTACCGCTCAAAAGTAAAGATAACTGGACAGTTAAAACAGAACGCCTGCGCCAGCTTTTTTAACTAAGTATACATAATATATCGTTCGTAGATGTTAGGTATAAATGAATCCAATAAAGTGTCTGATAATATGCAATCTTCTGATAGTCACTATTATGGATATTAGAGTCAGTAAAGGAAAAATTGCGCAGTGCATCGACATCCCTGCGTGTAATTCACTTTCCCAGTTCTAAATACTTCTCGAAATATTTCTAGCTTGGCTTCGGTCTTTTAGTGCTAGCAAGGAGCGGTGCACTTCCCTAGTTTTATTAAACTAGGGAAGTGCACCGCTCCACTTCTCGATCGCTGCTTGAGCTGGCCGGTTGAGACTTTGCTATGTAGATTACCCCCAGGTAACAACATAGCGGTTTTCGAATTAAACTGGCGTTTTCAATTGAGAAAACTGCCGTATCATCACCCGAATTTGAACACCCCTGTTAATTATCGACATCAGTCCCCCTGTCACCATGGATGTTCAGAAATGGTACCGATTTACCCGCTGCCAACCTGGACATGAAGAAGCATATCTTTCCCGGTTTTTATACGATGTTATTTACCGCAAACTCCCAGTAAATTTCTCCACATTAATCTTGGCTAACTCATCTCGTCAGAAAATCCTTCCTCCAGCATGGGGCAGTCTCCCCTCATCCGCACTGGTAAGGTTTCAGTCTTTCCTTGGCGATTTCACTAATCAATTTACCTATGCATGCAAGTATGACCTTTGGGCTCCAAATGAATGCGGTGAATTATTTTTATGGGGACTGGCTGAATATTCTCTATGTGTTCTACGCTGTACAACTTCTAAAGGCAAATTTTTCAATAAAAAGCATAATCCCGTTCCTCGTGAACTCCTCTCTCGTCTTTCTTCAATTAAACAGAAATTAATAAGCTCAAGCGGACGAAGCGCAGGCTTAGGGCAAATCTCCGTGAGTTATCTTTTGATTACGCCAATAACCTTAGTCACCTAAATTATTAAAGAAAACCCTTTCTGAAAAAATTTCGCAACTTAAATCTTCAGTTGAGAGGAAGGAAAACGACAGCTGGTTTCGCCGAAAAATGTTTAGCTTTATTGATTGCAAACTCAAGCGCTCTAACAACACCTCCAACAGCGCATTAAAACTTGTGATATTGAAAATTATTTTAAACAGGTCTGTAACCCAGCCGAATTAACACCAGTTAATTGTTCTTGGTTCAGTAAACTAAATAAGAAGCCGGTGACTGTTAATTTTAATTCTTCAGATATCCAGCCTTCCGATATTGAAAACATCTTGAGGGAGAAAAATCCCTCATGCGGCTCAGGGCTGGACGGGTTGAATTATGCTTTTTTGAAACCGTTTCCTGTTATCCATAGATTTCTTGCATTTCTTTTTAACAAAATTTTAAAATCTGGAATTCCGTGTAAGTCATGGCAAACTGGTAAGACGATCCTTCTGCATAAGAAAGGCGATTTAAATTCGGTCGAAAACTATCGTCCCATCACACTGACTAGCTGTGTAGGTAAGATTTTTCACTCCGTTATTTCGAAACGTTTAATGTCTTTCTGCGTAAAAAACGGAATAATTAACACGGGT